CGATTTGAGCGACTAAGCAAATCACGCAAAGTGTAAGCTTAGCTGCCTTCATTGTCTTGTGCGCGCTGGAATTTACACTCACTGCGAGCGTCTGTTCGCGTTGATTGAAGGTTCGCTGCTTCGCGGTGCTGCTTTCCGCCTCTCCACGACGCTTCTCCTCAAGCTGCGAGCATCGAACAGAATGATAAGTAACGTTCCTATCTGACGCGTCCTGGCGAGCTCACCTCTTCGAGCTTCGCGACGTGATCCTGCAAAGAGCGATAGTACAACGCATACTCGAGACAGCGACGCTCCTTATCCTTATCGTAATATTGGCGGAGCTCTTCCTTCTCCTCGTCCAGCTCGGCCAGCCTCTCCTCGATGTACTTGAGCAGATCATCGATTTTGGATCGCTTGGAGTCTGAGACCGATCTTTGCGCGCATCAGCTTGTGCGATAGGCCATCAGTATGTACCATTCGCTCTCTCACCCGTCTCTTCCATGATCTTGAGACTCTCTGCCCGTCGAGTCTCGTACACGCGCGTTCCAGCCACTTCTTTGAGCAAGTCGAGACGCTCTCTGTCCTTCATGTTGGTAAGGTTCGTAATCTGTCGATGGCGCAGTTAGAAGTTTGAGCGCGGATTCTCGAGCGCAGACAGCACGGAGAAGAAATGGTAGAGCACCACCAGCTTTTGACTCACTCGACCTTGAGGCACTATGTAATAAGGATTGCTTCTAGAGAAGCCAGCAGCTTCCAACAGGTTGGCCACATCCGCCTTGTTCGCGCTCCTTCTGTCAATGCTGTACTCGTCCTTCTTCAATCCAATGGTTCGTCGTAGGATGACTTCGTCGCTGTTGGAGCCGCTGGTACCGGCAGCCACTGGAAATCTGCCGTCGCTGTTATCAAAGACAATTTCGACGAAGGCGCTCAGCGTCGTGGACGTCGAAGAGGAAGAGTCGTGAAGCAATGCTTGACGCTCTTCTCGAGACATGGACGTGTACGCGTCGGATAGCACAAATCGAATCGCTGCGAAAGATCAAGGTCAGGATGTTCAGCAAAAGACGCTGCGCACTCAGAAGCTCTGCGTGCCATTGCCTCACCCGAGAAAAAGTTGGACTTGCCACTCCCATTGCGACCGACCACCACGTTGCTTCCAGGGCTACACAGCAAAGCAGGTGTGCATCAGCAATTTGAAAAGGAGTATGGGCTGCTCGGTGACGACGCACCTCAATTCGTCGATAGCCGTCTGATCACGATAGGACTTGAAGCCCTGGATCGTGAGTGTCTGTAGGCGTGCGGGTCTGAAACAGTCAGCAAAGCCAAGTCGATAGCTATGGAGGGTGACAGTTTGACTTCTGACCTTGATGTGCATCTTGACACAAGTTTGTCTCAAGCACGGGTGGCCAAGCTATTGTC